TGGTTAAAGTGAAAGAATTTCTAAAATTCTAGACTAGAATTCGCCACGCTGCTCCCAGAGAAGAAAAAGTTGGTATGTTTCAACTTCAAGAAAATTGTAGCGTCAAAATAATTGAATTTTCAGTTAGATATTGACAGAAAATTTTATTTACCGATGGGAACAAAAAGGACTCACAAAGTGAATATGTACTTAAGATTAACTATAATTCCGTTTGATAGATTTTTCCAAGTTTAAGCGTTTTAAGCACTTTTTGTGAATTTTAAAGAGGACTCCATGAAAGCTTTAATTCAAGCTAGGGCAATAAAAACAAATTTGGTGGAGGGAAAAAAGTGTATTGTTTTTTCCATTTGATATATAAGATTTGATTGTGTCGATTTGGTATCATCCCTGATCAAACTAGGGTTTGATAGCTACCGAAGCATAGTCTTAAAAACGCTCAGGCTATCGGAAGGTGCTCGGTAACTAGGATCAAGCAACTACCCGTTAAAATATGAGAAGTTGTTACTCACATTGACGACTTAGTTTATACGTTAACATCATCCAAGAACTAATGAAGATTACATTTATTCATGCGTTTCGTATCAAACGTTTTTGTGGAATATAACTGGGCTTTTTTTTCGTATATTCCACCTAACCTTAACCCTTAGTCTAGTTGTTGCTACCCATGCAAATCTGATCCATAAAAATGGAACTTTTATTTGTTACAGATTACGAAGTGAATTACAACCGAGAAGCAGTGACCTCTCCTCCCGACGAAATAACGGATGTTGCCTCGCGCCTCAAAGAAGGAACTGCTACAGGTACTTCCACCACTGATTTTGCCACTGCTGCTCCCGCTGTTCTGTTACATGGGAGACTATCATCTTTTCAAATAAATTATCGCTTTGTTGAAAACTGAGAGAACCCTCAAACTCATTGATTACTTGTTACTCGTAATCTTCCGTTATCACAGCATCGAAGTTTTTTTGTCCTTCGAGGGTACCTGTCTCCCTTAAAGGGCCACGCTCAACCAGCGTGCTTTGCGCGCCATTGTCATATTTATTATCCGGGTACTCGATACTTCCTCTCACAAACCGAAAGGAAACGGCAAAGAATACCACAAACGAAAATAAAAAGAGGGCATTATCACCCAGATTACAACTTAATCGCTTCTTCAGAAGAGGTATATTGACGAGGTGTTCTGTTGTGGAACAGAACCAAAGACAAATTAAGGGAATTTATAAGACGGGTAAGCAGCTACATTCTGTACTTCAAATGCACCACGATGCAATCACCATTCACGGTTGAAATATCATACTTAGATATTATATTCTTGGACAAAAAAGTGTAAGAAAACTGAAGGCTTAACAGGAAATCGACCCTTGACGCCTACGCATTACAAAGAGACGAGGACCTTCGAACACTTAAGTCTTTATTCGTCTCTTTCACCAGGCGCAAAGAAAGGATTCCTGAAACGAAAAGCTTTACGCCTTCTATGAATAATTTCGTCAAGCTCCACGTTTAATAAGAACTCGCAGTGTTTCAAAATACGCTTAAAGAATACAAGATATCAAGAGGAAATTAAGGAGAAATGTATCTCTGAATTTGATCTCACCAGAGGTGAAAAGTCACTCAAATACTTTCATGGGATTAGGCTTGAGATCGATCGTGAACGTTTCCCTGTTCGACGGTCATCCAAATGTCAAGAGGAGGTTTCTATTTGACTTTCCTCCGAAATGCTGTGAAGCGGGGCTTTTGTATACTTGCTCCTCATTTTCTTTCCATATCCCATGCCTTTCGCTCGTTCTATTGAAGAAACTAAATGAGGGTATCAAAGCCGAATCTCGATCAACATTGCAAAGATTTTATTCGAATAATATTGCTCACACGGCGGCTTTCCCTTTCTGTAACACAGAAAATACTGAGAGAGGCCACTGTCCCGGAATGCATCCTGGTTGAGCGTGGTCCGTAATTTTTTTTTTATTTTTCTTTTCCATCAGCCATTATAACGAGTTACTCAATAAGAAGCGATGACACTCCACAACCTTTTGAAGGAAGTGTGGACTTTGACAAGAATTCATTGAAAGGTGAGAAAAACTGACAACTTCTTCTTTAGCTCCTTTGGTGCTAACACATTTCGTCTTCCTTGTCATGCGAATGGGGCATAAATGCGTCAAGTAAGTTTTCACACGAAAACTTACTTGACGCATTTCTTTTGTTGACAAAAGTAAGGTCCATGTCCTTGAACTCCAATCCCTACCCTCGTAATATGGAGGAATTTTTTCTCTTGAACTCGTTAAAGTGATGCCAATTTGAATTTGGTATTAATAATCCCAGAGTCCTTAATCTCGGTAGAAATGTTATTCTCAATGTTCGGAAACATCCATGTTTGTTATTGAGCCATGATGCTGCTCAATAGTGACTGTCGCTCCAAATTTGCAATTAAAAAGCATGTAATGCTTACCTTTGATGACAGTTGCAATTTTATTTATTGTGGATTTTTTGTCGGTTGGTTGATGGAAAGTATCCTTTTTTTCGTTCCATGAAGACGTAAAAGGCAAATCAGTGGTGTCCTCACGGAAATACACTGCATCGTCATACAATAACATGCGTCTCGTACCAAGTCAGCTTGGTGACCTAAAGCAGGCAAAAGATTGTCACGAGCGTGCCTTAGGACCTCAGCAAGATGATTTGGCAACGTCATACGATAACCTGGGTCTTGCACACCGTCAGCTGGGAGACCTAAACCAGGCAGAAGATTGTCACAAGCGTGCCCAAGATATTCGGTTGAAAGAGCTAGGACCTGAGCATGTTGATGTCGCAACGTTATATGATAACCTGGGTCTTGTACACCGTCAGCTGGGTGACCTAAAGCAGGCAGAAGATTATCACAAGCGTGCCCTAGATATTCGGTTGAAAGAGCTAGGACCTCAGCATATTGATGTCGCAACGTCATATGATAACCTGGGTCTTCTACACCGTCAGCTGGGTGACCTAAAGGAGGCAAAAAATTGTCACAGACGTGCCCTAGATATTCGGTTGAAAGAGCAAGGACCTCAGCATATTGATGTCGCAACGTCATATGGTAACCTGGGTCTTGTACACCGTCAGCTGAGTGACCTAAAGCAAGCAGAAGATTATTACAAGCGTGCCCTAGATATTCAGTTGAAAAAGCTAGGACCTGAGCATGTTGATGTCGCAACGTCATACGATAACCTGGGTCTTGACCAGCGTCAGCTGTGTGACCTAATGCGGGCAAAAGATTATCACAAGCGTGCCCTAGATATTCGGTTGAAAGAGGAAGGACCTGTGGATGTTGATTTCGCAACGTCATATAATAACCTGGGTCTTGTACACCGGCAGCTGGGTGACCTAAAGCAGGCAGAAGATTATCACAAGCGTGCCCTAGATAATCGGTTGAAAGAGCTAGAACCTGAGCACGGTGATGTCGCAACGTCATACGATAACCTGGGTCTTGTATACCATCAGATGGGTGACCTACAGGAGGCAGAAGATTTTCACATACATGCCCTACATATTCGGTTGGAAGAGCTAGGACTTCAGCGTATTGATATGGCAACGTCATATGATAACCTCGGTCTTGTACACCGTCAGCTGGGTGACCTAAAGCAGGCAGAAGATGATCACAAGCGTGCCCTAGATATTCGGTTGAAAGATCTAGGACCTCATCATATTGATGTCGCGACGTCATATGATAACCTGGGTCTTGTACACCGTCAGCTGGGTGACCTAAAGCAGGCAGAAGATTATCACAGACGTGCCCTATATATTCGGTTGAAAGAGCAAGGACCTCAGCATATTGATGTCGCAACGTCATATAACCTGGGTCTTGTACACCGTCAGCTGGGTGACCTAAGCCAGGCAGAAGATTATCACAAGCGTGCCCTAGATATTCGGTTGAAAGAGCAAGGACCTGAGCATGTTAATGTCGCAACGTCATACGATAACCTTGGTCTTGACCACCGTCAGCTGTGTGACCGAAAGCGGGCAAAAGATTATCACAAGCGTGCCCTAGATATTCGGTTGAAAGAGCTAGGAACTCAGCATATTGATGCCGCAACGTCATATGATAACCTGGGTCTTTTACAGCATCAGATGGGTGACCTAAAGCAGGCAGAACATTTTCACAAGCGTGCCCTAGATATTCGGTTGAAAGAGCAAGGACCTGAGGATGTTGATGTCGCAACGTCATATGATAACCTGGGTCTTGTACACCGTCGGCTGGGTGACCTAAAGCAGGCAAAAGATTATCACAAGCGTTCCCTAGATATTCGGTTGAAAGAGCTAGGACCTGAGCATGTTGATGTCGCAACGTCATACGATAACCTGGGTCTTGTATACCATCAGCTGGGTGACCTAGAGGAGGCAGAAGATTTTCACAAGCATGCCCTAGATATTCGGTCGAAAGAGCTAGGACCTGAACATGTTGATGTCGCAACGTCATACGATAACCTGGGTCTTTTACACCGTCAGCTGGGTGATCTAAAGCGGGCAAAAGATTATCACAAGCGTGCCTTTGATATTCGGTCGAAAGAGCTAGGACCTCAGCATATTGATGTCGCAACGTCATATGATAACCTGGGTCTTGTACACCGTCGGCTGGGTGACCTAAAGCAGGCAAAAGATTATCACAAGCGT